TTCGCCTATTTCTCCCGCCAAGCTGCTTTGCACCCGCTGTTCTGTTCCGGTTCACAGCCACGGTCAGTTAAACCGATCAGTTCAGCTGATGAGTTCAAACGGATATAAGCCAAAACGATTTCCTCACTCACTGGCTTCTAATTTCAACTTAAGATTTCACACTCACGGTCAGTATTTGGATGTACGTAAATTCAACTGATGAGCTTATTTGACCGTGTTTCTCGGTCATAAGAGAACCAGTATAATAAGTAATAACAGACTGTGACACATTTCAACCAAGTGCTAAAGAGTTACAAGTGACAACGCATCTGTGGGCGCCTTTGTTTGGACTTGTTTGCATGTATCTATGGGATGGTTCAATAACAAACAGACTGTCAATATGTTACTCTGTTTAAAACAACGATATAAGCATAAAAGCTATATATAGAGGTCAATGATAAAAGCTGAGTGTAAGAAATGTTCATATAATATGCACATACAAATAAAGTAGTATATTCTTAAATAAAGTAGTATATTCTTTGCAAATCATCTAATGTTCCATTCCCAAAATCATTTGTCACCCTCGTGACGTAATGAGTTAATAAATATTTTGAAGTAGCTGAACCAACGCAGAGGCGTCGTCAACATGGATTAAAAATAATAAATGAGAATAAAACGTTAAAAAGAATTTCATATCCATTTTTAGTATACAAGCACCCGCCCGCCATTAAATTTGGTTCATCGATTTTGGTGTAAAAGTTTAAATAAAAAAAGTAAAGTTACAACCAATATACGTCCCACGGCTGTGCACAAACCTCCTCTCACTTGTGAGAGGGTTTAGGGCAAGGAAGTACCCGCCGCACTGTTTCAGTGCGTGTTAGCGGACCACAATTCCTCAAAATATTTAAATTACTCAAATATACATACATAGAGCCGTGGTAGCTCAGATGGTTAACGCTCGCTGTAAATATAACAGAAAGCGAGTAACCCGGATTCGATCCCCGCCGGCACCAATGAAATTGTTAATTGCAATTTTAAGTGGCGATTTACCACGTGCTCGGCGGTGAAGGAAAACATCGTAAGAAACCTGCGTGTCTGAAAAATAAGAAAAAAAACATATTTTGAAGACATCTGAAGTTCGCCAACACGCTTTGGGGCAGCGCGGCGGACACTTCCTTGCCCTAAAACCCTCTCAGAAATGAGGGGAGGACTGTGCCCAGCAGTGGGACGTATATAGGCTGTAACTTTACTTTACTTTTTTACTCAAACATACTATACGTTTTCAAGTAACAATTTCATTGGTGCCAGCCGCGATAGATATTTGGTTGCTTGCGTACTGTGATAGTTATAGCGAGGACTTAGATATTACAGTGAATAATTATTAATTTCATTAAACATAATACACAAATACATTATTTTAAGGAGCAATTATGCTAATAAACTCTAACTATATTTATTTTTTAAATATTTGCTTAATTGAGTAAACAATTAAAAAGAAAGTAAGAATTATCTACTAAATAGGAGATAAAGATAGTGTTGACGTCATAAACTTAACGAGATTTTACTTGCTTCTATGTAAATCATTAAGATTTAATGGCGCCAACCAGTGCCAACCCTTTTGCTGATTGTAATTTAAAAGTTACCTTCACATTATTATTACGAGTTTTATATACCCAAGATCATAGTACCCAGATAATGACGTAGAACGCATTAGAAATGCCACACAGTAATAATACCCTTAAATAAAAATAACCTTATAGCTATTACGTTTTATTTGACTTTATCATCGTCACGGTTACGTCCTTTCACAAAGCCCCCACGGCCAAACATACGCCTTCCCCAAGGAGTGCACAAAATACGGTCCTCAGGTCCTGTGCTCCCTGCATCCATCGACATTCAGGAATGTCTTACCAGACAGTGGAGGGTTACCTTAATTATGCTTACTGGTATGGGGCTGTCATTCGAAAACCTTTCTTCCGCATCGGTTATTGGTTGTTCGAGTTATATGACCATCCCATTGCCATTTCAGCTTACTGATGCGTTGGGACATGTTGGTTACTCTAGTTCTACAGCGGATATCATTACTAATTCTGACCTCGGGTAGATAAATATTGCGGGTTGAAATTTATTTTCTATACTGCTTGATAATCTTTCTGATAACAACTTAAGATAATAGAAAACTGCGATTTCCGACCAGCGTGTAAAGTCTGGCAACTATGGCAATGAGAGTAAGTGCGCGAACACTCTTGATGCTACTACGAAAATGATCATAATATAGTCACTGTGTTAAAAAAAAATAAAAAAAGTGTTTTTCGTGTTTTTCTTTATAAAATCAATGCAAATCAGACAGTATTTTATAACGTTTAAAGTTATAGCATAGTTTTTATTAAAATAAAAATAAAACCAATTGATTAAAGATGAAGTGTAGAAATTCTTATCTAAAAATATAAACACAATAACGACTTCAATAAATAATAATTTCTTATATTTACGCGAACACTACACTACACACTAATTAAAACTACTTTTACGAATTTTATCGCGTTTAATTTACATTTAATTATTTTTATTTTTAATTCCCGACATTTCGGGTGCATAGATCGGACCATAAACAAAAAAGGTCCCAACTCGGACGTCAGTCACCTCAGCCCCCGTGACCATGGGTGCTGGAAAGCACCCGAAACGTCGGGAATTAAAAATAAAAATAATTAAAAGTAAATTAAACGCGATAAAATCCGTAAAAGTAGTTTTAATCAATGACTTCAATAAATATTTAGAACATACTTTTTGGCAAAATTTGCCCATTTGCTCGTACATGCCATGATAATAACTAACACCTAGTATAGAGTTGCAAACCGTCCTGTTTTCTCGGGATATATTGTACTGCTTTTTGAGATGTGTCCTGGAGATCCGTAGGTAATTTGAAAAGTCTATGAAATACTATGTTAATGTTTTTTTTTGAATGATTCATTTAATTTTATTTCTTAAAGTATGATTGAAGATACTATCAATACACTTTCAATATACAATAAATAAAATTGTAATAAAAATTACTATTAACTACGCTCATAAACTGCGTCCAGTTTTCAAACCAAAATGTCCGTGTATTCTCTACGTTCAAAACTGGCTTTTTAAAATTGGGCTACCGTTTTGTAATTGTTATATCTTGCTCTACCATATAAAAATCTAATCCAATAATTTCTTATTCATTTTTTATCGGGAATACGAGCATATATATTTTTAAATAGAATCCCCAAGAATATAAAAGATAAAATTTTAAGTAATTTTATTTTATCGGGGTCACCTCGTTTTCTGGCTCTAGAAAACCGAAAAATCAACCGATTTCGATGTTTTTTTTAAATCTCCATTATTACGGCGGATTCACGAAAAAAATTACAAGAATAAAAAAATTAAAACTTATATTGATTTCAAGGCTCAATGTTCATGAAAATGCACTCATTCACGTATAATTGTTGATAACTTTTTAAAAAATGAAGTTTATGTACTTATTTTTTTCATAATAACGATAACTAACATTTAAAAATACTTAAAAAATGTTGGTTTTTATTGACTGTAAGATCGAGCGATGCGAGTTCGGGACTTAGGGCATCCCGACTCGGACAGGTTAGGTTAGAATGAGATCGAGTGAGCGAGCGAAGCGAGCGACCGGACTCGCTTCGCTCGCTCATTCGAGTCCACCGGGCTTCCCTTGACTGCGCTACAAGAGAGTTGTGGGAGGGAAGCACCACGCCACTCAACGTAGCGCAGTCGCGGAAATCCCGGTCGACGGAGCCCCGCTTTGCGAGGCTCATACTTCTGAATCATTTATAACAAAAATAACCACGAAGATGGCGGGGTCTATTCAGTCGCTTCGCTCACTCGACCCCGCTTTCCCATTCTAATCTAACCTGTCTGTGTCGGGATGCCCCATCACCAAAAACCAAAAAAATTTAGTTATCGTTATTTGAAAAAAATAAGTACATAAACTTCATTTTTTAAAAAGTTATGTCCCGAGCTCGCTTCGTTCGATCTTACACTCAATAAAAGACCAAAATATTAACTTTTATAATTATTTCGATTTTCTAGAGCGATTAAGTATAATATTTAAAGTCAGAAAACCATATAAAATCTTTAAGTGAGATAAAAGGTTAATAAACAAACATTTTTCAATGTTTCTTTTTTTAATGTTCGTTTTTTATGTGTAGATTAACAAAAAAAAAAATTATAAACTCAATGCTTTCAAAAAAGTTATGATTATATTCGAAATTATGATCAAATCATAAAACTATATGAAATCTTTTTCATAAATCAAAAAACAATGTTCATTCTAAAAAAAAGTACACGAATAATACCAAATTTTACATACATAATTACGTTTATTTACTATAAGTGTTTGTATAAATTAATCTATATTATATTATTTTTTTAAAGATAAGGGGGCAAACGAGCATGCGGCTCACGTGATGGTAAAGTGACTATCGCCGCCCATGAACAACTGCAACGCCAGGGGAATTTCACGTGCGTTACTGGCTTTTTAGAAAGGAGTAAACTTTAAGTCGTATCGGTCCGGAAAAATCGCCGGTGGTAAACAATTCCACAGAGAGATTGTACGAGGAAGAAAACCCCTAGCAAAACGCACAGTGGTAGGCCGTCAAGCATCCAGATGGTGTGGATGGTATCGTGAGTTTTGACGCGATGTGTGTTTGTCAAATTTCGCGGCTGGGATTAAAGCCCTCAGAGCACTCCCCGTGTTAAATGCGATAGAAAATGCAAAGGGATGCAACATCCCTTCTCAGCGCCAATAAATCGAGCTGATCAAAAAGAACTCGGTCGTTGAGGATTCGAGCCGCTCTACGCTGGATGCGGTCATGTGGAAGGAATTAGCACTGGAGTGCCCGACCCAGAGATGAGAACAGTATTCCATGTGAGGCCGAACTTGCGCCTTGTCTTTTTAAACCCTGAACTACTAGTGCTCAACAAGTACTACACACACAATTTTAATAAAAATATTATATTTCCAGGAAATGGTCTAATAGACGAAAACGAGTTCATGCAGTGGGTTACAAAAATACAAGCTTTACAAGGGATGGACGTGAGCGCGAGTGGCGGTGACTCGGAGGAAGAAATCACGAGAGATCTACTCGCGGCCTTTAAGTATGTACACTCGTTTTACCTATTTTGAGAGACAATGTCTTTGAATAAAACTATTATTTACGGATTTTATCGCGTTTAATTACTTTAATTTATTTTTATTATTATCCCGACGTTTCGGGTGCTTTACAGCGCCCATGGTCACGGGGGGACTGAGATGTTTGACGTCCCAATGTCATAGTTAGTCCGGCTACCTTCAGTTTTTTAATATTAATTTTTGGTCCGATTTACGCAAAACGAGCTTATAGTATTGTTACGAGCTTGAGGTTCGTGACAATAAAAATTGCCGATAAAATTACCTAAATTAACACTTTAATTTACTTTACCCAATTAAAGTTAAAACACTAATAATTTGATTCACTTAATTCCACTCCGAAGCTTCGCTTGTTTCGTCCAAATCAACACTAACCCCATCGCATCTTGCAGCGCCTATATATTTAAATTAGCAAAGAAATATCCAGAATGTTCAAGTAAACACGCGGAAGGTACCGAGCGTTCGAGTTTCGACTAGGCGCTGTCAGTTGAGCGATTTGTGATGTCATTTTCTCAATGCTCCCCTCACTCTCGTTCCTGACACTAGATGGCGCTAGTTGACTTATTCATGCAACACTGCCCCCTCCTAAGACATGCTCGTCCCGAGCATTATCGGTCCCATAATAACGCGCCAGGCGATTCACATGGACGATCTTAAGAGTCCCTCTTGCGCCTTTCTGTAACGGCTCCGCAATGTCAAGGGCTGTCCTATCCCGTGGTGCACCAACATTGTACAATTTCGGTGCTCCTCTACTACGTGTCCGAGGTCCCCGCACGGCCGCACAACTTGTACATGTACGACACCAATCCTCGACATCGTCACAATAATGGACCCAGTAAAACTGTTCTCGGACCTTCAGTAGAGTTCGTTTAACTCCCAGATGGACTCTTGAACGACCATTATGGCACAACTGTAGAACATTCGGCACTTTAGCTTTAGGGACAACCATTTGCAAACGACAGCTGTCTCTTCGACCATTGTCCCATTTACGGCACAGGACTCCATCCTGAATCAGCAAGCTGTCCCATTGGGCCCAATAGCTTTTCGTGGTTGAACTCATCGCTGAGACGTCCCTCCACTTAGGCTTGGTAGCACGGGCCTTCATCCATCCCAGAATCGGCTTGATGTCCGGATCTTCCTGCTGTGCATGTCGTAGGTTGTCCTTCCATTCGTTGCTGAGGTGGTCCGTCCTGAGCATCCTCACGGATACCACCTCCTTACTCTCTTGCCTACTACAATGGTTGCAATCTTCAGGACAAGGTCTTCTTGACAATGCATCTGCGTTGCCGTGAGATTTCCGGCTGCAGTGTCTGATAGTAAAGTCGTATTCCTGCTGCTGCTGGGCGGTGCTGTTAGCCGCACTTCCTTTCTGAGACCGTTCACCTTCCCTTCCTAGGGTGTGCTTAGGGCAGCTGGACCGAAGATGGCCCCTTTCCCCACAGCCATAGCACCTAGGGCTGTATCTTTTATTGTGGTCGCGAACCGTAACTGCTGTAACCTCCCTAGCGTGAGGTGAACGATGATCCTGTCGCCGCCAGGCAGTGCCGTTAGCTGCACTACCCTCTCGAGATCGATCAACTCTCCTTTCCACGGTTCGTTTAGGGCAGCTGGATCGAAGATGGCCCTTTTCCCCACAGCCATAGCACCTAGGGCTGTATCCTTTGCTGCGGTCACGGACTGTAGCTGCTGCAACCTCCCTGACGCGATGGGAACGATGATCCTGCCGCACGGCTTCCACCTCCAGTGCATGGGCCAAGGCGTTCTTAAGCGTGTCGTGGTGCCCGAGTCTCACAGCAGCTCTGACTTCAAGGTCGCGGATGCCGTCGATGAATGTCTGAACCAGGTTCCCTTCAATGAGCGCAGGTACAGACCGGTAAGCTTTTCGCACCAGCTTCTCCACCTCTAGAGCCCACTGCTGCAGGTTTTCGTTGATGCGCTGCACACGATCTTTAAGCTGCGCACGAAAGACGTGTTCCAGGTGAGCGTCGCCATATCTCGCCTCGAATGCCTCAAGGAGTTGCTCATAAGTCACTTCCTCACCGAGAGCTTCCAGAACTGTTAAGGCCTGCTCACGCAGGCCTAGTGTGAGAGCAGTCATGGCCTGATTTTTATTCCAGCCGTTCGCCTTCATAACAGCCTCGAACTGGATTTTGTAGGCTGACCAGGAAGAAGTCCCGTCGAACGGTGGCACTTTGAACCCACGTAGCGAAGGTGTAGTGGCTACTACGGGAGCTGTAGTTCCATCACCCAGTTTGAGTTCGTCCAGCGTTTTCTTCACGTCAGCCACCACGTAATCAACCCGATTGTTCACTTGGTCGATTTGGGTTTTAGCTTCCTTGATTTGGGTTTCAGCTTCCGACAGGCGGTTGTCATGTTGAGCAACCTTATCCTTCACCTCCTTTATCTCTTTCCCAAAGGTAGCATGAAGGTCCTTAATGAGGAGCATCTGCTCTTCCGACCGACGGGCCTGTTCCTCCTGTCGGCGGGCCTGCTCCTCTTGTCCGCCCCGCAGCTGCTCTTCCAATCGGCGGGCCTGTTCCTCCTGTCCGCTCTGCAGCTGCTCTTTCAACTGACGGACCTGTTCCTCCTGTCGGCGAGCCTGCTCCTGCAGCATCACCATCAGAGCACCTAAGTCAGGTGCTGCAGATGTAGGAGCTACCGACGGGCCTTCAGCCGGTGGCTGGCCCTCCGACGTCTGCGGCGTTGCACCACCAAATCTTCGTTGGTCCGTCTCCTGCTGGCGTTGACTTCGGGTACGGACACCCTCCGTTTCCTCCTTAGGTAAAATCGGCATGATTTTATCCCACTTCTGACACCAATTGTTACGAGCTCGAGGTTCGTGACAATAAAAATTGCCGATAAAATTACCTAAATTAACACTTTAATTTACTTTACCCAATTAAAGTTAAAACACTAATAATTTAAACACACTAATTCACTTAATTCCACTCCGAAGCTTCGCTTGTTTCGCCCAAATCAACACTAACCCCATCGCATCTTGCAGCGCCTATATATTTAAATTAGCAAAGAAATATCCAGAATGTTCAAGTAAACACGCGGAAGGTACCGAGCGTTCGAGTTTCGACTAGGCGCTGTCAGTTGAGCGATTTGTGATGTCATTTTCTCAATGCTCCCCTCGCTCTCGTTCCTGACACTAGATGGTGCTAGTTGACTTATTCATGCAACAGTATCATGAAGTCTTGCAGTGGTATGCTTGGGTTTGGGTTTAATTTTGTTAATTATAGGATCCCAAGCAGATGGTAGCACCCAACCATCTTCTCTATTGAAATTTGGATGTTTTTTATTTCAATAGCTTCGCGTATCATCCTTGGTAGGAATCGGTGTTCTTTTGCGAGAATTTGTGGTTTATCAAATCTAATGTAATGGTGGGGACGATCTTGAACATGTTCGCAGACTGCAGACTTCCCGGAGCGTCGGTGCTTCACATCAGCTATATGTTCCTTCACGCGGGTTTTTATAGATCTCTTTGTTTGACCTATGTAAGAGAGACCACATTCACAATCTAGCTTATACACACCTGCATCTTGTAGAGGAATATTACATTTGATGGATGGTAAAAATTGACTAATCTTCTTCAGCGGCTTGTAGTATGTCTTAATGGACGCTCGCTTCAAGATGTAGCCAATCTTGTCCGTGACTCCTCTAACATATGGTAGTAGGGCAGGCGCGCGCTCGACTGTGGCCGGCTTCACTCGTTCACTGTGACGTAGGCGCGGCACCCGAAGCTTGTTGTCTTGCAATACTTGCTTGACGTGCTGAAGCTCCGCGGCCAGATGTTTTCTGTCACAGATCCCTCGTGCTCTCTGAAACAAAGATTTACCCACGGTAGCTAACTGTGAAGGATGATGGTGAGATTCACCATTTAAATATCGGTTGGTATGGGTCTTTTTCCTATACACAGTGTGACCAATAGTGTTATCAGGATTTCGGATGACTAAAACATCTAGGAAAGCTAACGAATTATTTGCCTCTAACTCCATTGTGAATTGTATTTTAGAGTTTATGGAGTTAAGGTGGTCTAAAAATGCAGTTACTTTGTCAGATGGTAAAATTGTGAAAGTGTCGTCTACGTACCGCTTGTAGAACCTTGGATTTACAGGAGCAGTAAGAAGGGCTTTCTCCTCAAAGTCCTCCATGAATATGTCGGCGACTATGGGAGACACAGGTGAGCCCATCGCCACACCATCTACTTGCTTGTAGAACTCCTCCTTCCACAATAGATAGCCAGATGTGAGGCAATGTTCAAGTAGTATTGCATATTCTTGAGGCATGTTATTTTCTTCTAGCTTCCTAGTTACAATTGAGATGCAGTCCACAATAGGTAGGCATGTAAATAGTGACTGAACATCAAAACTGACCATAGTTTCATTGTTAGCGAGATGTAGGTCTTTTATCTCACTCACAAAATGGTATGAATCCTTTGTGTGTGCTCTGGTATGTCCTCTTAGTGGTGATAGTATTTTTGCTAAGTATTGTGCCAGCTTATAAGTTGGTGAATCGATCTGGTTCACTATGGGACGTAGTGGAGCGTTTGGTTTGTGTATCTTCGGTAACCCATACAACCTCGGTGGTTTGGCACATGATGGTATTAGCGAATTCACGTCGAGATTTAATTTTTCGGAGTATTTCTTTATTAAATCGCTAGTTGTTTTAAGCGTGTTAGTTGTAGGGTCTGTTTTGACATTTTTATATGTACTTTCGTCCGATAAAAGTTGTTGTATTTTAAAATTATATTCCGACGCGTCCATTACTACCGTAGCATTTCCTTTATCCGCGCGGAGAATCGTGAGTTCTGGTCTGTTCCGTAAGTTATTTAGCGCTGTAAATTCGTCTTTGGGAAGGTTTGGTTTCGGCACTGAACTACGACGTTACAAGGACGAAATATCTTGATGTATGGCCTCCAAATCTTCCTTACCGATATTATTCTTAAACAGACAATCCTCAACACTGCAGATAATTTCTTCGTACGGGATTTTTCGCGGATTTAATGCGAAGTTCATTCCCTTCGCTAATACTTTCATTGTCGGTTCGGTCGGTCGGTCGGTTTAAAATTATGTTAAGACAATGTCTTAACATAATTTTGTAGATCTTTTTTCTTTCTGAAGTTTTAATCCCGTGGGATTGATTTCCGTCTGGAGCAAATATGTATAAGGTTTAGAAATACTGTTTGTCCAGTCCTTTTTCTTTAAAAATCTTTCAATGTTCTAAAATCTAGCGGAATATTGCTACAGATTAACGATTATGTTTAATATATAGATTAATGATATAATTATTTTCTCATAAAATGAATCTATAGCAAGAGAGTGCATAGACATGGGTACGTTAGTTTGTTATCTACACACTCTGCAACGATCACTCTTAAATCCTTTTTGAACCGTTTAGCTTTCTTGCATTGGATATTCTCTAACATCTTTTATTAATCTGCCATAGTAAAATCAAACTTCTTTAAATTTATATCTCGCTATTTGCTCTTACGCATCGTCATCATCATTACAGCTTTGACATAGTTGCCTCCACGGAATATAAAAAAAAATTATATTCCGTGGTTGGCACGCTTGGAAGGCGAATTGGTAAGCGAATTTTATTTTTACTTGTAATCAGGACGATGATGCCGCCCAGAGCCGTTTCAGTTTTCTTGTCGCCTCTTGCAGGACCCACGGGATAATATGAGAAATCATTTACATCGCCACTACACGGCTCTTATGCATGCTAAAACATTTAGAACTTACGGAAATTTTTCATACCTGGTAGAGCCACGCTACAGCTACCTATATTATGGTTGTAGCACGAATAGGTCGGCTCGACCGGAGGAGGACCACGCTCTCACAGAATACCAGCGTAATATAACAGCTTAATACTGCTGTGTTTCGTATGGTGAGTGTAGAGAACCGGAAACCCTTTTTTTTTTTGGAAACGTGGCATTCCATTTTAGTCCTCACGGATGACAACACATCTGCGTTTTGATTCTTAATCGAGGATAAATGTAGATGTCTATGAACCACAGCATCCACTTACCATTAATCATGTGGACTATGTGCTCGTTTGTCACCCTTATTCTATAAAAAAATTACATATTGAGATACTAGTCGATTTAATTTCTCTTATTTTACGACGGATAAACACGTCACGAACTGCGAGGATGTCGTATGCATTGAATTAAAGAAATAGCAAAAAAAACTCTCTTCTAACTATCAATCTTCTCAATATATCGCAAGTACACGCCGGTGACGGATAGCAGGTACTACGGTTAGAAATAACAAGTGGGACGACCGTATACTGGCCTACCAAGCATGGTGACCATAACATATTTACCATAGCATAATTACCCAACTGTTGACCAACTGAACGCCTATGAGATTTGAGCGAGATTCCATTATTTACATGGTGGCCTTAGAAGTTCCTCAGCCCGCACTAATAGCAGCGCAACAAACTCTTCTATAATATACTACTTTTTTAAAAAATGGACCTATTCCAGTCTCCAGAGGAAGAGAACAGTTATCACTTATCACCAGTCAGCCATCTCCCCTTGTGGATTATACTTTACATTTGCTTCGCCACCAGAGTGTTCGACCGAGATGACAACGGCTACATAACGCGAGACGAGTTGCGTTCGGCTCTCGAGATGATCGGCGAGCCGGTAACCGACGCGCAGCTTAACCAGGTGCTGGCGCTGGGCGATATAGACCACGACGGACGCATCGATTACGAAGGTAAATTTTACACTTAGTAGAGCCACGCTACAACTACATTATGGTTGTAGCACGATTGGGTCGGCTCGACCGGGGTAGGACCACACTCTCATAAAATATCAGCGTCAAATAGCAGACCAATGCTGCAATGCTCTTATGGTGAATGTAGAGAATTGGAAACGAAGTATTCCATCTTAGTCCTGAGCGTAACATACAACGCATCCGCATTTTGATTCTTATTTGAGGATAACTATAGGTGTCTACGGGCTACAGCATCTACTAAACATCAGGTGGACTTTGTGCTCGTTTGTCACCCTTATTTTATAAAAAAAAACAGTAAGATATCCTATGCAAAACATTATTTCACGAACGTTTACAGATGTTTCGAATACTTTTTTATAGCTTAAGGATGACAAACGAGCAATCAGTTCACCTAATGGCAAGTGGATAGATGCTCTGGCTTATAGACATAGTATATCCTCAGTTAAGAACAAAATGCGGATGTGTTATCACCCTTGAGGACAATGACGGAATGCTCAGTTTCCACAAAAAAGTGTCTCCGATTCTCTACACTTACTGCAAACATTCATTAATACGACTTCTGCCTTATAACTTATAAGTAATGGTTTTACTGTCATCTATCATTATCTTGACATTTCCCTTAGATCAGAGTTCACCAAACTTTTTTGTGTCGTAGACCCCTTGCCATGTTTTTCCGTATTGGGTAGACCCCCTACTTACCTGATATTGATTTCCTGTAAATTTCTAACTCTAGTGAAGTTTAGTGTTAAAAATTTAAAGTAAAAACACATGTTAATTTATGCATTTATTAATTGAATTTAAATTAAAACTACTCAAAATAAAATTTTATATCTGTTATGTAAAATATAAGTAGCATTAAATAAACATAAAATAAACTATAAATAAAATAACATAAGCAATATGTCAATATTTTTAGTGAGAAGGACGAACCTGATGCTTTAATAATAAATTATCAACATTTGGCGTCAATTTTGTAAGGGTTAATCTTAAATCTCCTCGGCTAATGATGTCTGTTTCTTTTTTTTTCGTTAGGAGATTGGTAACAGCGCTGAACCCCCTTTCTACTAGGTATGACGATGGAAAGGAAATTAAAAATTTCCTCGCTATATTCCATAATATGGGATAAGTAACGGGTATGTTGTTTTGCAGCCAGAATTGCTGATATCCGTTTTTAAACTGAACCTTAAGTTCTTCGTTTGTACTCAGTTCAGTCAGTTCCTCTTGTATTATGACATTCGTTTCTTCTATGTCACCATATGGATTAATTATCCACGGTGGTATTACCATAGTCAAAATATCCTCAAACCTAGATTCAAAATCTGAATAGAGGGCATTTAAATGTTGAACGTAAGTTGAAATGTCGTCTTCCTGGTAGCTTGTCTGTGACAAATTGGAGAACTGAGAAAATTCGCCTGTCCAATATTTTGCTTCATTATTTTAACTCTGGCAAGAAACGCTGATAAGATGGACTTTGTTTTAATCAAATTTAAACTGTCGCCTTGTAATTGCAAATTAACCATATTAAATTTTGTAAACAAATCTGTTAAATAGGCGATATCTGTTTTCCTCTTCATTAAATTTTCTTTTAAAATTTTATCTTTAGTATCCAGAAATTCTAAAATAGTCTTAAAAAGTGCAAAAAATCTTGTCAAACATAAGCCTTTCGACAGCCAGCGTATTTCAGTGTGAAGGAGTAATTGATGAAAGTGTTCGTCATTTTCTTCACACAACTGCGCAAATAACCGCGTGTTCAACGCGTTGCTTCGGATTCGGTTTACTGTATCAATGACTAAATGAAGTGATTCATGCAATATAACACTCAAATTTTTAGCAACTAAATGTTGTCGATGGATGACGCAATGTATTGCTAACACCTCTGATACATTTTGTTTTAAATAGCTTATAAATTCACGATAACGTCCAACCATGGCAGGTGCTCCATCTGTAGCTACTGATATTATATTTGATAAAGGAATTGCTTTTTCAATGAAGTAATCCTTCAAAACATGAAATATTGATTCACCTTTAGTGTCGGTTATCAAAGTTCTTGCGAAGAGCAGTTCTTCGTAGATTTCTTGATTCGTAATAAAACGAATATATGCCAATAATAATGCCGCATTATCAGGTAAAGTGTACTCGTCCAGTTGTATAGAGAAATGGGTCGTTTGCAAATAATTACATAAGAAGCTTTCAATATCAGAACTCATTTCATCAATACGTCTTTCAACAGTATTGTTGCTTAAGGGAATTCTTTTAATGATATCAGATGCAGGTTTGTGTAAAACAGTTTTTGAAACCTCTTCAACGGCTGGCAAAATTAACTTCTCTCCGATAGTATGCGGTTTTCCGGATTTTGCTATAAGTAACGAGATATTGTAAAACGCCCGCAAACCATCATCATTTCTTTGTGACGTCGAAGTGAACATTCTGTCCAGTGTAGGTCTCTTCTGAAGTTTATCTTTGAGTGTTTGAAAGTATTTCAAATCTTTCTCTGTTTCATCAGGGTGGCATCTTCTCAGATGATCTTGCAGTTTAGATGGTTTCATAGCGTCCTTGCCTAAAACTTTGTTGCATATAAGGCACATAGGCAATTGTTTATCCGGCAATGATGGAATGAAGCCAAATTTCAAATAATCGACACTGTACTGTCTACATTTCTTTTTAGATTCGGACATGGCATCAGTCATCTGTGGGCAATATTAAATTATTTAAATAAGACAGAAAATCCAGCAGCTGTATATTAAAAATATTTTTTGATTTTTCCGAAAACATTACACAATTCGAACATCTTCTTGCAACAATTAGCTCGAATTACGGAGATTGCACTGTAATTATAATAACGATTGCTAAAACTTTCAAAAAGAAACTATTGAGGAGTACTCGTGTAATATTGAGCACATCATCACACACATACAGCCCCAATCCCTAATAGCCTCCCATCCACACTCCTCCACCTCATCCATCACTTCCTGCATGCATGATTGAATATTAAACTACTAATAACTAAAGTCATGATTGGCGTAATTTATCTATCTTTGCTAACTACGAGTACAAAACTAAAATTTAATAAAAATAATGTACTTACTTTTTTCCAGCACTCTCAAACAAAATAACACTGACTCACTATAATTTGTGTGATATACTATCTGTTTATACTTTTTAAAATATTTTCTTAGCACTTTCCTTTTGAAGATTCAGGAAACGAATAAACGTATTTGTCCCCCATTCGTATTTATAGAGTGACGAATTGAACAAGTCAGTCCAAGGTAGCGAAGCTCTGAGACTGCGACTCTCAGGTTTTTACAAGTTCAAAATGTATTGCGACCACAAAGCGAATACCAACATCCTACAACTTACACAATTTTATAAACATAATATATAATAAATTTTTACTTCATAGGTACTTTTATAAATAATGTATATGTTTTGATATTATAAGATAGTATGATGTAAGTAAATAGGTACTATCAGTGTATGTGTTGAGATCCACTATCGTGGACCCCCATTTTCATTTCATGGACCCCCAAATTTTTTTTCGCCCTCGGGGTCGATATAGACCACTTTGGGAATCACTACCGTAGATGATCTGCATATATAAAAATATATGGCGAATTCCCATAAGATGTCCGTGTCACTACGTATGTATTTTTTAATACAAATGTTATTTTCTAACATAAATCTATCGAAATGTGTTGCTCTACAGTCTACATATTTTTATATAGTTTTTAATTATTTCAGTGATCATCTATACAAATTAATGAAATTGAATTATCTGTTTTTACTGTCAAAATAACAGCTTTTTACTAAATGTATAATAAAGTATAAACGGTACTTATAACAACAACACAATTTTTAAATTTCTTGTCGGTCTGTTTGTTTCGGTTTGTCTTCGAAACGGCTGGACAAATTTTGACGGGACTCACTAGCGGATAGCTAATGTTATAAGAAGTAACTTAAAGGCTACTTTGAGTTTAGAAAAAAAATATGAGTTCCGCGAAAAAAGTTTGAACAAATAAAATCCAATGGTAATAAATTTCATGCGGGCGATGTCGCCGATAACAGCTAGTTTCTAATAAGTTAAAGTTAAAGAATTTCAACTTAAATTCTAACACTTCATTACGTTTCTCTGTTTCAGAGTTCGTCAAGATGCTGTTATAAATTGTACCTCATTGAACAAGAAAGACCTCATTAGATATAATGATAAATTTATTTAATAGCAGTTAATATTGCTGGCTGTATGTGAATGTCTTGGATACCTGTGATTGCGTCGTACTATTACCTATGTTTTAAAAGAAAACAAAGAAAATACGTGTCTGAGATGGCCTTAGATATTTGTTTATAGATTTTAAAGTGGACTTTTTTATGTATTTATCTTAGCTGTAAATGATCCATATAGGTTTTATATTATATATTAAAAACAAATGTCTACGAATCACTGAACTCTATATATACAAGGAACTTTTTAAACTTTCAGTTAATTACATTTAACATAGCATGTTTGTAGATTTGATATAGTTTTGTAAACTATTTAATTACAACTGTTTTAAAGAGTAACACTCTGGGTTAAAAATTTTCATTTGCAAAAGAAAGATGTGTACCCCCTTTAATGTATTGTTTGGAATTCAAAGATGGATATCATATTAAAATGCTACGCTGTGCTATTGCTGACTAGTTTACTGATTTGAGGAAGATTTGCTTTTGTAACAGTTACTGGATTCGAGCTTGTTACATGCTGTTGATCTGATGCTGACCAGTGAACACTTTTTCGATGCATTCGGGCATATCTTATTGATATAGCGTTACAACTTACATGTACTACGCACTGCTTGGCTTGACGTTCTCCCTTAGTAATGCTCGATAAGTACCTAAAGATTACATTCGAGCGAACGCACTCGGTCAGTACGAAACTTAACATAATTTAGTCTAACTATAGGCCTATGTATTACAGCGGACTTGTGAAAGGCTGTAATAATAATGATGAGGGCAAATTATCAAAAAATTTATGTCACAGAGTCATGGCGTGGTCTAAAATAATTTGCTTTTAATTTCATTTAAGTACCTAAGTATTCATACCCCAAAATTATTTTTCATACTTCGCTATAAGAATAAATAATGTTTTGAATAGTACACATAGGTATACTTGTTTTCAATATCAAAGAATACCAACAAATAACGATGTACTTACTTGTCTATTATGATTTTAGAATATTCTTATGAAACTAAATTTGTACTTAATATAATGTATATTAGATATGTACCTCTCTATACTGTAGTATATCAAGAAATATTATTGTAATTTTATGGTTGTGAACGATAATTTATATCAAATGTTGTGTATATTTCCATATTGCTTTCCACGTTCCTTTCGTTTTGAAGGGCTTGTTTTCGGCCGAAAATCAATGATCATCTAAATTTTATACATTTAATGCAAATTTTATATCAAATATCTCATTTCTCATAATTTTATATCGCAGGTGTGAAATATTTTGTACATTTAAAATAGTATTTTATAATTTAAAAATTACATTTAGATTTCACAAAGATCATTTGTTAACAATCTAATCAAAATAGTTAAAAGTACAAAAATATTTCAACATTTGTATTTTTTTATTGAACAATATCAGCCTTTAAAAGGTATGTGATGAGTATTAAGGGTGATCAATAAACCATGAATTCGTTATTTATTTTCTTAATTTGGAACATTTAATCCATGCCCGCTAAAAATTTGCCGAGGAAATCGTAGGGCTTAGGCTCGGCGCTTGGATTCCAATGAGACATTACGTGACCTTTTTGTTGCCATTGATGAGTGACTTCTTTAAGCTCCATGTAACCCTATCAGAATCAAAATTAAAGCTTTTAATACAGTTAATAAAATCCGCAAAACACCTCAAATTTTTAACGAAGGTGGATTTAAATTATACGTATCAAAGCGATTGCTTACCAACACGCAGCTGTACGCCTGTGCCACTATTAAGTATCAAAAAATGTCAGAATTGGGTATTTGACTATTTAGTAATTGAAAGGTTTTAAGAGTTGTTAAGACAAATATTTTAATATGATGCGCTCACTTGGGTTAAGCCCGTGGTCTTCGTTATACCGAGATATTTTTTAATTATATTTCGGGGTTGTTTTTCACGTGAAAATAATAATAATAAACTGCCCGGATTATTACCATTATTTTTCTTATTATATTATTACTTTATTTAGTCTTTAAGATAAAAGTGAATTTTTTTTCGTCTAAGACTTAATTACCACTTACCACTAGGTGTGGTTTCAGTCTAGCACTAGCTAAACAAGTAAAAAATACTTGTATTTTTTTATTATTAAATGGGAAAATCGACAAAGTTTTCAGACACTGTAAAACTAGCAATATATATATATATATATATATATATAATAAAAATATAATATTTCTAATTTTACAGTGTCTGTAAAAAACTATATATATAGTTTTTTCAAAAAATATCTAAATTTTATATTTAAGTTCAAATATATAATTAATGATATAAATACTTACTACGTTCTTTCTGGGTTTGAAAATACGAGTAAATAAGGCTCCTACTTTTATTTAAAATTATCCCAATGCTGAATGTAGTTTATGGGCAACAAATACGCGTACGCAGGCTCCTACGTTTGTAATTAAATTCTTTGTTTTTGCTGACCGAGCAACTTTTATGAATGTGCGTGCGTAGTAAAATAGTAGGCGTTAGGTATTTATGAATGAAAATCAGTTAAAAAAGGCATTACCACGCATTCTTAATTCAAAAAATAAAAAGTACAGAATGTTTGAGTTTTTTTTAAATTAATGATTCTTCACAAATTTAAGCACTTAATGCAAAATAACTTTGTATATACTATATTATTATAATAACGATGCCGTGTAGTGGCACCGTAAGAGAATCTATTACTACGTTTTTCTCCGTAAAGGGCGACTATGAGAAATACCAGACATCTTAAGGAATAAGTAAGAGTAAGAAATAGTCATAAGGAAAAGGAATAAATGGCGGTGCAACCCCATAGTTTACGTGAGACTCAAAATACTCAGATGGGCGACGGGCAGCAATGTCAAGGTATGAAACATCTGGCACTGGGATCGTCTATCGCCGAACTAGTCGATTATAGTAAATCTTTCCTATGACGGGAGACACCTGATTCCAGCAGTAGACTTTTACGGATATATGAAGATGTAGCACTATATATAGTAGGTAGTAAATTTATAACAGTATGAGAGAACCTACCGTAGAAAATATTACATTTCTGACTTTCTAATTACCTATACAACACAAAAATATCTTACCTTGATCACTAAAATATCAATAACTCTCACATCTGTGACGTAGGCATTTTTGTAAAAGTTTTCTCTTAATTTCCAGCGGCAATCCTGCTCATTTTTGGGTATGTCAAAATATTTTACTGAAAATAATTTCGTGTTTTTTTTTAAATAAAAGTTCAACACTAAAGTAGGGAATGCAATAAAGAATAAATACATAAATAAGTATATAAATATATTAATGTGCAAACATTTAACCATGATCTCACTTGGTGTGAGCGTTTTAGATCAGTGCGAACGGCCCGTGCGGAATGCTTGTATGCTAGCAGTAAGTATAACGTGTACTTACGACGCCTTCCTCCAAAAATGAGGTTTCGATAATTCAGAAATAGCATATCTCGTGCAGAAGTTCATATTAAAGTGATTTTTTTTTGTAACAAGAGTGCAGAAATGACAACTTACGACACATTCTAGGAAATCTATGGAGAACGTCCAATCGGGGTGCTACTAGAGATGAGACGTGACGTAACTACCAGGTTTAAAAACCACGGCTTATATTAAAAGTGGGGTGCCCTGGTACGGGCGCAAAATACTTGCAAGTACCTTAAAAGTATTACAACCGCTTAGCCACGCTTGTTCCGAGTTTGGGTCTAGAACTAACCATAGAATAAATAATTTTACTATCTACTACGTAGTCTAATCCGAATCTACGTGTTACGGGCGCGTGTAACTCGGTCGACATCCGTCACCGTCACGCATTATTGCGAGTTTTTGGGTATCTAAATAAGGAACATCGGAACTATGTTCCTTATTAAACATTGTAATTCGTAAGTTTACCTATAAAAGGTACAAAATGCAAAATAATCTCAATTCTTAATAAATACCAATAATATTGAAATTATTTCAAGCATTTTAAAACTTGTTTTCCAGGTCCACACTAAGGATTAGACAATGGTCAGTTGAGCCTAGAGGGGCGTCGACGGAGACTTTGATATCCATCGGGTTGAGAAGTTAGCAGAAGGCAGGAAAGATGCACGATCCTCCACATCTGGAATCCCTGTAGGCGAAGTAACCAGTTGTATCAGATCAAAGTCAAGTCAAAGTCATAAACAGATCTCCCTGCATGATTGATTAAAAGTCAACCGAAGCTATTCGGCGTAGTGGGTGTTAAATCGCCAAGGATCACGATCGCTGCGGATGAGATTTGCTATAGCTAGAAATCTGTAGCCATTTAGGCGTAGTCGATGTCGATCAGTCTTGGCATTACACTAATGTGACCTATATAGGCACTCGAAGACGCGGGGATGGTCGTCGCTGTCTACGCGTAGCCAAAGGATGGACAGGGTCGAAGGATGCAGGGAGGCGTCAATAACAGATGTTCCCTCCGATTTATACGCTTATTCCAGCCCTTGGCGCAAAGGAGTGTTCCAATTTGTACCCTTTGTAGGAGAAATACGAACTATCAGCCGGAGAGGCCACCTGTGTCGCAGTCAGAAAGAGCAAGGCCGGCTTCACCGTTTCCAGATGGTACAGGTTCCCTGATGCTGCAGAAATTCACTGATAGCGTGGCAGAGGTCACCTTTGTCTTGTTGCTCAGCTTGCACCGAACAGTTATTGTGCGTAATTTTGCCCCCGACTCCTCAGAATACGCGAGTCAGCCTGAGCACCCACACTCAGGTGGAGTGGAGTAGTTTGGTCGTGGATGCTCAGCGAGGGTTTTGCCATTACCACGCCGCAGCTATATTAGTTGTAGCATGAATAGGTCGGCTCGGCCGGGGTAGGATGTAAACGGGGTAAAATTGCAGCTTAAGGCTGATGTGTTTCGTATCGTGAGTGTAGAGAACCGGAGACCCTTTTTACAGGAAACGAGGCATTCAATCTTAGTCCT